TATCCCTACAATCTTATTGGTTGATATTGTATAATAGGGTGTGGCTACATTAGCCGGGAGAGTTTAAAAGTAGAACAGCTTCAGTGTAAAAGCTGTTCTAGCTATTCGAGTTGATCTGTTGGAGTTGAGTTACGAGTTGCTGAATAAAGCAGAATCTTTTGCTGAATCACTCTCTGACTCTTTGTTAACCACATGGTGGACACTGGAAGCTGCCTTCTGCTGAATCAGACCACGGGGGTCCGTCAAGGTCAGTCTTGCCTGCTTGGACTGGCAGCAGCTCTCCAGGGTCTCAGGCAGCAGAAGTCTTCCCCATCACCTACGGCCTGATCCTTTTAGCTGGGGATGCTGCCAGGGATTGGCCTTGGGGCCTTTGGCACACTGCTGGCAGCAGTCAGACTGCCTTGGCATTGGTGGACTGCTGGGCCCCGGGCCTTCGAGTGGGGTTGTTAATGGTCTCCAAGCAACACCAAGAATACTCCCAGTGCTAAAGAAAGAGACAGCTGGAAACTTCTGCACTCTGTGCTACTTCAGCAGGTGTCTCTAATTCTTTTGCCAATCTGAGAAGCTGTAGGAAATAATGAAAGGCGAAAACAGAAAACACAGATTTCATAGTGAAGAAAAGAGAGTGAGCTCTTTGACAGAAACGGTCTCCGCAGTCAACAGGAGGACAAAAACATCTGTAATCAAGTCACACTTGACAACATTTTCTAGCATATTAATTGTGGACAAAATTAGTCACATTTAAACACGGTGTATACATTGACAGTATATAGAGGAAAGATCATTCTCTAATGCTGTAGATTGCTTTAGGTAAAGATCTTTATATTACACATTCTGAGCGATTCAGACCTCGTCCTGAAAAGTAATCCACTCACATTGGTGAAAAATTTGGGAAAACCCCCCAAATTTTCTGGGCTTTCGCATACCTAGAAAGCTTCAAGGGGAGGGGGCAAAGAGGCCGAGCTCGCCAGCTTGTCTAGAGGACAGGGGTGTGCAGAGCCCAGAGGGAGCAATCTAGTGAGACCCAGATGGGATCTATTTATTGCTTCTGGGCAGGGATTTCCTGTGCCTGGATCCCAGGGGCCCACTTTGTCCGGTGCCGAAACGCCTTCATCGTCCCAAGAGGGACACTGCTGCACTGGCTGTCACCCACGGCAAGCAGGACCGGCCCACCGTACTTGTCCACGTAGGCCTCTCGCTGTTCGGTGCTGAACCACCGTTGCCCCTGCCAAGGGTGGACCAGGTGGGAATGCTTTATCTGGGGAGAGAGAAAGAGAGCAAGAAGATTCAGCAGCAGAGCTTTTGTGAAGACGCAGCTGAAGTCTGAACTGTGCGAGAATCAGTGGCCATCGACAAGACGAGCATTCAGTGGTTCTGTGCGGAGCGACTGTCGCCCAGCTCTGCAGACTGGAAGTGGGAGTTGAGCCCGTGGGTTTAGATCAGTGGCGCTCGCTCTACATCTCGCAGAGAGTCACCTTGGCAATAACCGTCAACCAACAGACTCCGTTCCCTCCGTTCCTGGCCCGAGGCTCATACTTCAGGGAGACCCGTTCTTTTGGCAGTGGCTGTTTCAAGAGGGGGAGCCACCAGGGACAGTCTTAGGAATGGGGCAGCTGGGGCAGGTGCTCTGGGCACTACACTGGAGAGGAGACCAAGCCCCGACTGGCCTTGTAGGAGCCCCCCCCCGCCCAGCTTATTGCTGCCAACATTGCCTGATAGGCAGTTAAGTGGCCAACATGAGATGAGTAGGTGGGGGCCAGACCTGCTCCTACTGCCCTGCAGGAGGGCTCAGCGAGAGACTTTGCCCAGTAGAATGTCCCAGCTCAAGACACCTGCAAGCACTTTCCCCAATCCTGTGCCTCCAAACCGCACGCGTGCTAACAGTACCTCCCCCCCCCCTGTCATCTCCCACTGCCTGACAGGTGGTAGTCATGAGTGAGCAGTGGGGGGGCCTCCTCCCCACCCATCTACCCACCCACCTGCTCAGTGCTGCTCCTACTGCTGCTGCTGGTACTTCCTGGCAGTCTTGCCCCCCTCAGGGCAGTGATTCCAGGGCAGCATCCTCGAGTTTTGCCCCCCCGGGGAGGGCTCCAGGATCACTCAGGCAGCCCCAGGGAACCACCCACCACCCACAGGCCTCAACAGGCAGTCCTGAAACATGGGTGGGTGACACACGGGGGGGGGGGACGGTGCCCAGAGGGGCCGCAGGAGGGTCCTGAGCTCACTGAGTGAGCATCCCTAGTGCAATGGAGCTGGACCGCTGGGCAAAAAAATGCCTCAAAGCCACGGGCGCTTTTCGAAATGCTCTGGAGGAGGAGGCGTCAAGGTGGCCCATAACCAGGTGAGTCCTTTTCAGTGTTAGAGACTGGGTTATGATATTTCTTTATGTTTATCTGACGTTTATACTTTTGTTACAATGAAAAGATAAGATATGAGAAATTAATCCACAGAGAAAAGAAGAAGAAGAAGAAGAGGAGGAGGAGGAGGAGATTGGATTTATACCCCACCCTTCACTACCCAAAGGAGTCTCAGAGCGGCTTACAAACTCCTTTCCCTTCCCCTCCCCACAACAGACACCCTGTGAGGTAGGTGGGGCTGAGAGAGCTCTGACAGAAACTGCTCTTTTTCAAGGACAGCTGTGCCAGAGCTTGTGACTGACCCAAGGTCACATCAGCAGGTGCAAGTGGAGGAGTGGGGAATCAAACCCGGTTCTCCCAGATTAGAGTCCGCACACTTAACCACTACACCAAACGAGCTCTAAGGAAAGGAAAGGAAGGAAAACAGCTAATTAGAAAGTCACCTTTTAGGGTTCAAGCTCTTGGTCACACTAAAACGAACCCAGGGACTGACTGAGGTGAGGCAGGGGGGAGGGGCAGGACAGATGACGAAAATGGGGAAGATGCTGTTTGGGACAGGCCGGGCTGTCAGTGACTAATGTCGAAGCGGGGCGGGGACACCACCAGCTGGCAGCATTCCGGGAGCCCTGCTGCGGCAGGGAAGAGAACGTCTCGCCAGCCTTTGACACCCCCCCACACACACACACCAGCCTTACTCCTGGGGCCAGCCCAACTCTCAGGCAAAGCCAAGCGATGGCCTATAGGCAGGGCTTTTTTTGTAGAAAAAGTCCAGCAGGAACTCATTAACATAACAGGCCACACCCAGAAGCAGAAACCCATTAGCATATTAGGCCACACCCACATTACCAGGCATGTGGTCATCCAGCCACACCCACCTTTTGCTTGTTATTCTGTTTACCTTGTTTGTTGTCAAAACCCAGGGCCTTTTTTTGTTGCAGGAACTCCTTTGCATGTTAGGCCACACACCCCTAATGTAGCCAATCCTAATGAGTTTCTGCTCTTGCGTGTGGCCTATTATGCTAATGCCTTCCTGCTGGGTATGGCCAACTTGGGAGCCAGATGGAACTCTGTTCCTGTGCGTTCCTGCCCAAAAATAGCCCTGCCTATAGGGCACCACAAAGGGCAAAGGCAGAGCCTCCTCTTCTGGCTTGAAGGATCGCTGGCTCTGAAGCGGCTGACAGACTCTCTCCCCTGCCAGAAGACCTTGGGCAGGCCCTGCTCAGGGCTGTTGAGAGGGGCCCCCAGGGTGTGAGGGTGGCTGACAGACTCTCTCCCCTGTCAGAAGACCTGTTGAGAGGGGCCCCCAGGGTGTGAGGGTGCCCCGTATCTCTGTGAAGGGCTGAAGGCACTGAGGGTGAGCTCTACCTTCTGTATGAGTTCCTCTGGGATCTGGTGCTTCCGCAGCTGGTGAGGGATGAGCATATCTTGTGTGGTGGTGGAGGTACCGGTATCTGCATGGGAAAAGACGGTTGAGAAACAAAGCAGAAGGAATGGTTTGTGGGTGCCAGGTGTGTGTGTGTGTGGCCCTTAGGTGGCATGAAAGGACAAGGAGGATTCCTTGAAATAGCAGCTGTGCTCTGCTAGTTCAGGTCACCTCTTGTTAGGGTTGCCAAGTGCAGGTTGGGAAATTCTTGGAGATTTTTTTTTTTGGGGGGGGAGGTAGAACCTGGGGAGAGGATAGGGTTTGAGGGGGGAGGGACCTCAGCAGGATATCATGCCATAGAGTCCCTCTGCCAAAGCAGCCTTTGTCTCCAGGGGAAGTGATCGCTGTCATCTGGAGGTCGGTTGTAATTCTGGGGGATCCCCAGGCCCCACCTGGAGGTTGGCAACCCTGGCTCTTGCCCTCTGCCTTTGATCCTGAAAAGCCCATAAATTTTTGACCTGCAGAAATTCCATCTGGCAGCCTAAACTTTAGAGAGCAAAGAGCTAGGAATGGGACAGGCCGTTTCATCAAAATTGCTCTTGGCCTGGAGTGCCAGCTTCACATCTGGACAGTTTCCTCTCAATTCTTGCAAAGTCGGAAGGACACACCTCCTTTCTCCACTCCCCATTTTCTTGTCAAAACATGGATCTTTTAAGGAATGCACTTTCTATTTAGACAGGGCCGATATCCACAGATGTCCACGCCAGGAGATGAGGGCTGACAGGGTATTTTCCCTCTCCAACTGTCTAGGATGTCTTTTTTATCCTTCCCCCTTTTCTACTCACCTGTCCAGGAGGTTTATGACTGGCCAGAGTTTTCCAGGTTGTCTGGTGTTTTGAACCCAGATCCTAGTCTGGACACTGTACTTGCTCCTGTCTTTGGAACAGGAGGAGGAGGAGGCGTGTGCTCTCTCTCTCCCCCTGAGACCATGCGGGGATCGGGGAGCTCCAGGGGCTGATCCAGTGGAGAGGGAGAGAGTTGGGACCCGCGCAGGACCCTCCCTGCCAAAGGGACCCCTACCAGGGAAGTTGAAGGCAATGTTGCTCTTCATCAGGTCATTGCTTTTGGGGTACACTGTGGGGGTCTTGGGGAGCTGCCGGTAGTCCGACTGCTGGGTGGTGCTGAAGGATCCCAGGCGCCGGTCTCCTAGGTGCAGGGTCCCCTGCTCTTTCCGGCTGCTAGGCTGCGGTGGCCTCAGGTCCCTGATGCCTGGCTGGGTGGAGAGAAGCAAGAGATGAGCCAAGGACATAAAGGGGGGGGGGAGTGCTGCAGCCACTGTTAGAGAATGAACTTGATATTTTGCTTTATGGACTTATATTTATTGCTACACACAATGGACTGTGCACACACACACATAGGCTCAGAGAACTGTACATTCCAAGTCACCTGTTGTGATGCAACACATAGAAGGCGCCTGCACACGCCTTCCACGTAAATGAGGTTTCAGTTACACACTTGCCAGCCTGGTGAAGGAGCACACACCTCCATTATTGTGAGCAGTAAGAAACAACAGCTTGGAGAAGAAGCAACCCCCATTGCAGATCTAGTTGTGATCACGTACAACACATCACTGCTTTTGTTCCTGCTTCGGAATTTCCTCCCAAACGGACATTTGGTTTACAATAGAATGGCCAGCTTCTATCTATACTTCAATGAAGCATCCTGACGCCCGAGGTTTCACACCTGCCCAGATGTCTTCCTTGAGTAATTACCTAAAAAAAAAAAAGAAGAGACCCAGTCACATGGTGTCTCTCTCTACTTGATAAACTACCATCTCCCCCCGCAACAACCCCTCTCTGCTTTATACTCCCCTTTTGTCCAGCTTGCTATCCCCAAACCCTTGCCTCTACTTTGATCTCTTGATCTGCAGTCAAGAGACCCGCACACAGTCCTGCTAAGTTCTGGTAGTGTGGATCCCTTTAGTTTTCCATTTCTTCCCCTCTATTCTTCACTGGAACAACCAAGCTGCGAAGACAGATAAGTATCACCCATCATCACCCTACCTGCTAATGCAACAGTGCTTATTTTAATACTGTATTTCTAAGGAACTTGATTGAATGTGTGAGTCCATCAGTATTGTTTGTATGACATTTATTTTCTTAAGTAAAAGACATCTATTTTAACAACACCAGCCTCGACTCCTTCTCTGGTAACCCTTGGTATAGTTGGCAAGCACCCATTTATAAATTGCCAATTGCTGTAGATAAAGCAATTCGGCTAACACTCCTTGCCGAGTGGTATTTCGAACTTGGTTCTTGACTGGGTCTCTGACGGGGCAGCTCTCTTGGCCCTTTTAGCCTGGGACTGTATTGTCCGTCTGCCATATGTTTTACCCTACTCTTCACCCAAGTGGTTTTCTCTTTCCTGGGGGTGGGCTCTGGGGGATCCCTGAGGCCAGCGTCAGCCCCAAAGGCAGGGCAGGAGCACGGGGCACCCGAGGCACTGGAGTGGGTTGTGGGACTAGTCTGATGTTTGCAGCGTCTCAAACCTCTCTGTAGTAGAACGCGCTTGTGGTCACGTTTCCCTTGTTCCTCTGGGCACTTTCATCCCCTCGGAGGATGGACGACATGTTCCTGTGGGGGTATGAAATGGAGGGACGTCCTGGAAATAACCGAAAGACGACATCAGGTGGAAGCCAAATTTGCACCAACCTTTAGCCCCCTGCCTCCCCCCCACCCATTTTCAATGTGCACAGGCCATTGTGTGAGGCCTGGCCATTGAGCCAGACCTCACACATTGTTTTTTTAAAACAAACCAACCCTGCAATATGGGGGGGAGGTGCAATTTGGGTGAATATGTTCCCTTGGGCAGACCGTTCCCAAGCATTGCCCTCTGCGTACCAGCCTCCTTCTGCCGAAACGCTTCTCGCATGGTGGTGGAAAAACGCCTGAGTCCGTCACCCGCTTGGATATCTGTCTGGAAGGGCTGCCGGGCAGCTCGCTCAGCGGCAGAGCAGCTGACAAGGGAACAAATGGGGGGTGGGGGTGGAGAAGGGAGAGTTGGATGCCTGAATGCTGCACCCTTCCCCAAACCAGTCGACTGTGCCTGGGGCGTGTGCCTTACCACAGATCAGCAGGGTGGTGGGCAGGATACGCATGCCGTTGTTCACTCACAGCATCACGGCAGCGGGGGTCACCAAACACGACAGAAATCAAACCCTGGGAGGTGGAAGTGAGACAAGAGCAGAAGTCGGACCTTGTGTCTTGGGAGGTATCTCTTCACACGGGGCACACTTGACCCACGGAGCTCTCCGGCCACTGCCCATGATGGAGGTGTTCTCCACAGAGAAGCAGGCGTGTGTAGCTTCCCCCTTGCTCTTGCGACTGCTAATGCAACACAGCAGCAACGGGCTTCCACACAGCAGGCTTCCCTGGTAGCTTTCTTTTTAAAAACTGAACTCGTAGGTGCCATCTTACAGAGATTTCTAAATACTGCAAAGCCCTGATTTGGAACAGAGCTCTTCTTTAAGAACCTAAGAGAAGCCAATGCTGGATCAGGCCAATGGCCCATCCAGTCCAACATTCTATCACACAGTGGCCAAAAATACCAGGTGCCATCAGGAGGTCCAACAGTGGGGCCAGGACACTAGAAGCCCTCCCACTGTTTTGCACCTCTTCACATGCCAAAACACCCACCCACCCACCCACACCCACCCACCCACAACTGTTTTGGCACTTGAAAAGGTGAGGTGGGGGGGGAGCTCCACCCCACAGGCCAGAGATCTGGAGGGTGGGACAGAGGATAGGCCCACTGTCACCCTTGCCCATTTGAAGAAGAAGAAGAGATTGGATTTATACCCCGCCCTTCACTACCCAAAGGAGTCTCAGAGCGGCTTACAAACTCCTTTCCCTTCCCCTCCCCACAACAGACACCCTGTGAGGTGGGTGGGGCTGAGAGAACTCTGACACAAACTGCTCTTTTTCAAGGACAGCTGTGCCAGAGCTTGTGACTGACCCAAGGTCACATCAGCAGGTGCAAGTGGAGGAGTGGGGAATCAAACCCGGTTCTCCCAGATTAGAGTCCGTGCACTTAAACACTACACCAAACTGGCTCTGGGAGCACGATTAGGGCTCCCGTTTCAGAGGCAGAATGCCTCCGGTTGCCCCGGGTGCTATAGAGAACAGTTGGCAGGTGGAGGCCTGATGCCCACAGACCCTGCTTACGGGCATCTCTGCCTGACCACTGCTGTAGACAGGATGCCAGGCTAGATGGCCTAATCCAGGGAGTCAGTTCTGACTCGCTTACGGAAAAGGGTCTCTCTATGCCCGAGGCCTCTGTTGAGAGTTACTGGTGTACCCATTTTCTTTCCCAAGAGAGGCTCCTGAAGACTGCCAGGAAGAAATCTAGGAACTAAGCATCCTTAGTTGGACATCTAAGAACCAGGATTGGCAACCTCCAGGTGGCACCTGTAGATCTCCCACTATTGCAGTTGGTCTCCAGATGACCAAGGTAAAGTTCTCCTGGAGAAAATGGCTGCTTTGGAGGGTGGATTCTACGGCATCATACCCCAACTGAGGTCCCTCCCCACACTCTTCCCAGGCTCCACCCCCAAAATCTCCAGGTATTTCCCAACTCAGAGCTGGTAACCCTACTGAAAACTCTGGGCTTCCCATCATTGCCATCTCCAGAGCTTGCAGGTTTTTCCCTGCTGGTAAGAACTTGGCAACTCTTGTTCCTCCTTCCATGTCAAGCTCTACGAAGGGTTCCTTGACAGCACTGAGAGGCAGATGCCAACCCCTTCCAGTGCCTCTAACCTCCACAAGCTGTTCAAGGCTGGTTGCTGGAGCCCCTTAAAATAACATGCGTGGGAACTCGTTTCACTGGGAATACTGCAAGGGTCCCAGATATAACTACCTCCTCAACTTTACTGAGCCCGTGGGCTCTTGGAATTCTGACACAGTAGGGTAAGCGCAGCCACAAAACGGTTGCCGCAGGAGGTGAAGCCAGCCACAAAAATCTGCACAGCCAATCAAATCTTCACTGGCTAATCAGAAGCTTGCTGGGCAAAAGCCCCACTAAATCCACCCACTGTCTAGAACCCTTGGTGGGCACCATGCCATCCCTGGGCACCACACTGCGGATCCCTGACCTAAAGGCAGGATTGAACTGGAGACCACCGACACCATATATGATGTCCTTTCACCTCCACCGTAATAAATGGAGAATCCTCTCCCACAAGGCCTCCTCTTCTCCATCAATCCTCTCCCTCTGTGGGATGCAAATGTGAGTCTATGGAAGCTTCAGCTGGAAGAAAATACAGGTGGTAGTCATGAAGGTACAACGAGCCAAGACAACAGCTCCATTGGAATCAGTCTCCCAAAACAATTTCCAATGACCCAGCTATCCTATCCAAGTGGTAAGATCTTGTTGGATGTCTACTTGGAAACAAATCCTGTTTGGTCAGGGTCCCTTTTCTCTGCAGTTTCATAGAATTTTAAAGTTGGAAGGGACTTCCAGGGTCATCTAGTCGAACCCCCTGCACAATGCAGGAAATTCACAAATACCTCCCCCTCCACAACCCTCAGTGACCGCTGCTCCACACCCAGAACATGACAAAAACCCTCCAGGATCCCTGGCCAAACCGGCCTGGAGAAAAATTGCTTCCTGACCCCAAAGTGGCAATCAGCATTTCCTTGGGTGTGTAAGAAAGGGCCACAAGAAGTAAGCACTGAGGCAACCCTTCCTGCCCTACCTCTCATGATCTGCCTCGGTTCACAGAATCAGCGTTGCTGTCAGATGACCATCTAGCCTCTGCTTAAAAACCTCCAAAGAAGGAGAGCCCACCACCTCCTGAGGAAGCCTGCTCCACTGAGGAACTGATCGAACTGTCAGGAAGTTCTTCCTAATGTTTAGCTGAAAACTCTTCGGATTTAACTGCAACCCGTTGGTTCTGGTCTGACCTTCTGGGGCAACAGGAAACACCCCTGCTCCATCCTCTATATGACAGCCCCTCAAGTACTTGAAGATGGTTATCATATCACTTTGCAGTCGTCTCCTCTCCAGGCTAAACATACCCAGCTCCTTCAACCTCTCCTCATAGGACTTGGTCTCCAGACCCCTCACCATCTTTGTTGTCCTCCTCTGGACACATTCCAGCTTGTCTATATCCTCCTCAAACTGTGGTGCCCAAAACTGATCATAATACTTCTGTTGCCACCCACTTGCCCAGCCCTGACAGATCTCTCTGGAGCTCCTCACAGTCCTCCCTGGTTCTCACCACCCTGAACAACTTGGTGTCACCCGCAAACTTTGCCACTTCACTGCTTTCTCCCAACTCCGAATCATTAATGCACAAGTTAAAAAGCACCGGACTCAGTACCGACCCCTGCGGTACCCCACTGCTTACCACCTTCCACTGTGAAAACTGTCCATTTAGACTCACTCCCTGTTTCCTGTCCACACTTCAACAGCATTTTAGGCTTGCAGCATAATTAGGAAAATGATAAAACATAGGGTTGCCAACTCTGGCTTGGGAAATTCCTGGATATTTGGGGGTGGAGCCTGGGGAGGGCGGGATTTAGGAAGGGTAGGGACCTCAGTGGGCTGTAATGCCATAGAGTCCACTCTCCAAAGTTGCCATTTCCTTTAGGGGAACTGATCTATAGTCTGGAGAGGAAGTGTGTAATTCCAGGAGATCTCCAGGGCTCCACCTGGAGGCTGGTAACTATAGAAACCAAACACAGGAAATCCTAGAGCACAAAATCAAGCAATGACCATTCTGAACTAAGAGGCCAGTGTGGAAGCCTCGTGGCCTGTATTGAGAAGTCCTGCCCCTCTGACTTCAACATCCTTTTGCCCAGCCCCAGGTGTTGTCTGGCCAGGTCTGTGCTCAGAAGCACTCGATCTCTGTCACCGTTCTTTTCAAGGGTGCTGGGAGAACTCGCTGAGCCTCAATTTACCTCATGGCAGCGCTTGGGTGGGGGGCCCCATTCCCCTTTGTACTGGGATCTGTATGAGCTGTCAAAGCGGACACCGCCATCACCTTTCAGGGTGGAGTCGCTTCCTGCCAAGGAAGAGAGAAATAATCTCTCAGTTTCTGAGTTGCGGGGCTCTTTTCCCCACCCCCAAAGCCAGTTGCCAAAAGAGGAAAATGCAAGGGACATGTGTGATTCTATACTCTGGGGTATCTGCACATGCTCCGAGACATTTAGCATCACCAGGTTTTGAGGGGTTTTTAAAATCAACACAGGATGCTGCCTAAGAGGGAGTCAGCCAGCCATTGGTCCCAGTATTGTCTCCTCTGATTGGCTCATCACCCCCAATGTCCCAGAGGAGCCCACCGAGGGCACGCCTCAGGCCCTGGGTAGGAACCTTGAGAACCATGGGCTCAGTGCCGCCGCCAGGTTGCCATACGCACCCAGGTGCTGGTTGGGGGCCCTGACTGCTGAGGAGAGCCCTTTGTGAGCTGGGTAGGACTGCTGGTAGAGCGAGGGAGGCAGTGGCACTTTCTCTTTGTCACCCCCGGGGATGTTGTCGTCCCACTTGTCCACTCGACGGAGCTGCGTGGGCAGGGCCTTGGAAGGACAAGTGTAGATCTCTTGGGTCGTGGAGGTGAAAACGTGGTGCCGGGGGTCGGTGTGCATTTGAATGCAGGAGGCCGGAGGGCAGATGGCAGGCCTTGCCGCTAGAGGCCAAGCTGGGTAGGACACGAGATACTCGGACTTGGTCTCCCAGGGGTCACCCATGTCCTGATTCAACACGCCTGCGCACTCGGGAGGCAGGATGGGCTCACGCAGGTAGGTGCCCCAGCGAGGAGGATAGTCGAAGCGGTACGGGGACACCACCGTGCTGCCTTCAGGTCTGCGATCAAAACCAAGCTGGAAGTGAGAAGCCTGGAGAAAGGAGGGCCCGTGGAGAGGAGCTGAGATCTCTGGGCAGAGGGGCTCCTCCATCGCGTGGTCTGCCATTAGAGACGCCAGCCCGCTGCCTCACGCTCTGAGGGCAACACAGCACAGCAAGGTGGGCGTGGAGTGGAGGTGCAGATCCTGCAGGCGTGCACTCTTGTCCAGACGTGGAAGAAAGGCCACCTTTTGTTCTTGGCCCACAAGTTCTATGTAATCTCCTCCCTATAAGCATTCCGCCTTCAAAGGTACTGGCCAGTTCTGTGCAGGAATCATTCTGTAAGTGACCCCAGCTATAGGTCAGGCCAAGAAGGAGGAGGAGTAACTAAATCTGTGTACCTGGATCGACACTCCGGTGTCCCAGGACGAAATATTATGTCATAGACTATGACATCACGGAAAAGCCAGCCAATGAGTGGGTTTGCCCCCTTCCTATTCCCTGTGTGATGAAGATGGTCCGCCTCCCCACAGATGGCTGCCGACTGAGCCGTTGGATGCTCACCAGAGGACTCTCCTAGGCTGGGCAGCAAATCCCCTCTTGCCTGCTCGCTTCCTTCTCTGACAAGAACTGCCTGTCCTCTGCGATTTAGAAAACAAAACACAACGCAATGCCAACTCGACCCGTGGTTTGGACAGACAAACAGAGCCCTTGTGTGAGAATGGAAATGAGCGGGAGCACATGTGCACCTGGTGGTACGAGACTGTGCTGGATCTCCGGGCTGGGATGCAGCTCCAGAGCCCCGTGGCCGTCCTTGCTGTACCAACTACAGAGTCCAGGAGCAAAGTGGGGGTGGGGGGAGAGGTCGCTGTTTTCGTTTGTAATGCAGCCTTTGCCAGACTCATAACCCTCCAAAGGCCTAGCCGCTAGATTTATGGCACAGATGCACAGTGTTGGTCTCAGGAGAAAAGAGTCCACATGCGTTCCATTTCCAAAAGGTTCCTTATCTGGTTGCCCAGATTCTCACTGGCCCCAAGACTCTGTTTTCACCCCCTTCTGCTCCCCCTCTTGCATGAAGGCCTCCTGTACAAAGGCTCCCTGGTTGACGTTTCCTTTGACACGCTCAAGGCCAAACTGAAGGACCACTATTTGCCATGTCCCTCCAGAATCGCCTGCCGGCTTGCCTTCTACAAAAGGGACCAGGCCCTGAGAGAGTTGATCGCCGCTGTTAAATAGTGGGTTCCATGGATGAACAGGCCACAAGCCTAGTGATCAGTTCTACTTTATTAGTGATTTCAACAAGCACAAGACAAGACTCCTGAGCCTCAGTTCTGTTAAATAGCATGCAATTGCCACACCCAAACACACCCCACTCCCAGGGATAGGCTATTTACATAACATTACTACTAGATTCTCCCTCATGGATCACTGCTCAAGATCCTACAACAGTGATGGTGAACCTTTTAGAGACCGAGTGCCCAAACTGTGACCCAAAACCCACTTATTTATCGCAAAGTGCCAACATGGCAGTTTAACCTGAATACTGAGGTTTTAGTTTAGAAAAAACAACTCATAATTTAACATAAGATGATCCAAACGAAGTAAGGAAAGCAATTCCAAATGCTTTCATTTTATTTGGCAGAGAATTCCACACTTTAATGACGGTCTGGGCCTGGCTGGGGCAATGGCATGCATGCCCACTGAGAGGGCTCTGAGGGTCGCCTCTGGCACCCGTGCCATACGTTCGCCACCACTGTCCTACAAGCTAGGCTTCAACAGTACGTGGAGAGAGAACTGCCAGAAGTACAAGCTGGGTTTCGAAGAGGTAGAGGAACTAGAGATCAAATTGCCAACATTCGCTGGATTACGGAGAAAGCAAGAGAGTACCAGAAAAACATCTACTTCTGCTTCATTGACTATGCTAAAGCCTTTGACTGTGTGGATCACAACAAACTATGGCAGGTCCTTAAAGAGATGGGAGTACCAGACCACCTCACATGTCTCTTGAGAAACCTGTATAAGGGCCAAGAAGCAACAGTTAGAACCGGATATGGAACAACTGATTGGTTCAGCATAGGAAAAGGAGTACAACAAGGATG